TTTTTCTATATATTTTTAGTTGTCTAATTAATTTCTTTCTATTTTTAGTAGAGACGGGGTCTCGCTCTTGCTCAGGCTGGTCTCGAACTCCTGAGCTCAATCCTCCCTCCTCAGCCTCCCAGAGAGCTAGGATTACAGGCGTGAGCCACCGCGCCTGGCTTGAAGTTTTATCTTTATGTGAGATGTTTGTAGAATGCAGTGTAAGCAGTCATCATACTCTCTTAAAAAACACCTCTCTTTTAGGCAAGAAAGAAAACCATATAAATCTTATCAGGTTTGAGAATATTTCAGTTATAGAATCAGGATAACCTCTCTTTTAATCTTTTAAAATAATAGGTCTAAGCCGGGTGCATGGCATGTGCTTATAGTCCCAGCTATTCAGTAGGCTGAGGCGGGGGGATTGCATGAGGACAGGAGTTCAAGGCCAGCCTGAGCAATGTAGTGAGACCTTGTCGGTTTGAAAAAAAAAAAAAGGTCTGTTTTTGTCTTGGGCTGACAAAATGCAAGTTATGATCTCTTTTGTTTTATTCTCCATATTGTATACACAGCGAAATGTGAATGTTAATAATTTAAAAAATCATACGTAATAATTGGTAGTTTTTCCTATGCTGGAAGGATGACCTCATAATATAATAAGTTATTATTATTATTTTATGAAGGGGGAGGGGAGTTAGGAGAGGGTTCAATTTCCTTTTTTTTTTTGAGACAGTCTCACTTTGTTGCCCTGGGTAGAGTACAGTGATGTCATGGTAGCTCACTGCAACCTCAAACTCCTGGGCTCCAGTGATCCTTCTGCCTCAGCCTGCCCCGTAACTGGGACAACAGGTGTGCAACGCCATGCCTGGCTGATTTTTCTATTTTTAGTAGAGATGGAGTCTCACTCTTGCTCAGGCTGGTCTTGAACTCCTGACCTCAAGCAATCCTCCTGTCTTGGCCTCCCAGAGTACTAGGATTACAGGCATGAGCCACCAGGGCTGGCCAATAAGTTATTATTAAGATTCCATAATTTTTGCTTAAATGTTTTTATGAATAACTCTTATTCTTTTTCCTGTCATAATTATGTGATCTGTTGGTAGAAGTTAGCTAATGAATTAATGTAATAGTTGGAAAAAAGTTGTTTCCTAAAACATTACCTGGAAAACTTACCATTAGCCATTATAATGCAAATAGAACTTTACCTTGAACAGTCACCATTTGACAAAGGACAAAGAAGTTGCCATTGTACGTGTCCCTCTCTGACCTCGTTGGTCGTGTTTTCCTAAGGAATGACAGACCGGTGGTGGTGTTTTAGTCACTTCCCTTTCCTGTCTTACACTTCTTGCTCAGATAATTCCCAATATGCTTTTACACTTTGCTTTGCTAAAATCATAAAATTTTAAGGTGGAAGCTGGCCTTGAATTTCTTCTGGTTCACTTGCTATATTTTGTATGTGTTGAAACTGAGACTTAGATTTAGAGACTTGGTGGATATTATTCAGCTACTTAGTGCGTAACAGAGACTGCATATCAAGTGTTGTTTCCACTTTCACCTGACAGGAAGTCAGTGCCAACTAAATGTGTTAAACTGAACCACCTCTACCCACCATAACATTCTTTGGGTGAGTGGCACATCACTGCATTTCATCTTCTTAATAAGGGCAAGATCACATGGTTTATACTGCCCACGGTCCTCTCTAGTGCATCCTTTCTGGACCCAAAAGCCAGTCTAACGAAAAGACTTGGAAGTCAGATTTGAATAAAACAATTCCCATACTGCTCTGCTCTTTAGCAGTTATTTTCTTAATACTCTGCTTCTTATAGTAATCAACCATTTTCAAAGTTACGCTTTTCCTCTGAGTCTTCAGAGAAATCTTCTGCTTCTCTTATGCTATAGGTTTTTTCAGAAGCTCTTGATTGTTTCATTTGTTTCTTTCTCTCATACATGTAACAAAAACTTTTGTACCCCCTTAATATATTGAAATTAAAAAAAAAAAACAACTTTGAAAGGAGGGTCTTAGTTTCCTCATTTTTCAGGTAAGGAAATGGAGGCTTCAGTGATTTGCCCAAAGTCTCGTAGTTGGTAATTGGTAGAGCTGAGATTCAAATCCAGGTCAGACTTTACATATCACATTCTTTTTTATTATGTATTTTGAGAATATGGTTAGCTAAACATTGAAAGCAAGCAGTTATCTAGAATTATAGTCTTGTGATACTAAAGCTTTTATATTTTACTTAAGTTACATCTGAAAATAATGTGCTCTTAATCTTCTTTTTGAGATGGCAGTTCCTGGATTAACACTTGGTGCCTTCATGATTCTGTTGCTCATTAGTTCTGTGGCTAATTATCCCAATGGAAGAGTAACAAAGTCATGCCACGGGATGATTCCGGAACATGGTCATAGTCCACAGTCTGTTCCTGTCCACAGCATCTCAGTGAGTCAGATGACATTCAGACCAGGAGACCAGATCGAAGGTACTGTGCTGGAATTAATTTATTAATGTTTCGGGTTTCACTTTTTTACTGTTCATTGAATCTTTATTATTATTGGATTTGGACTATTTCACTTAAATCTATTCACTCGTTTTTGTAAGATATTATCATATTATATTTCCTAGTTTTTCTTTAACTGTTATAGATGGCTGTATTACTTAAGTTGCATGGAAACCGGTTCAGAAACCCATTCAGAACAAGTTTTAAAATAAGTTTTTATCATTATTTAATATATCTTTATTAGTACTATTACCTCAATAGAAGAGAAAAAGAAAGTTTATCTCTTTTGTCTTTTTTTTTGCAGTGGTTCTGTCACTTGAAAGAAAGTTTATTTTATCTTGTTTAAATTATAATAAACCCTTGTCTTTCTTGACATAATGTAATCTTAGGTTTCCCTGATCCCTCTGGCAAAATGTAGGCTGATTGTTAAAGGTATATCTATAACAGCATTTTGCAAACTTCATTTTTTGCAACTCTAGAAATACAAAATATTAATAGGTACTCTCTAACAAAAAGCGTGTATAGAGAAATAAATTTGGAATACCCTGTGTGATATATAATATACCTCTTAGAGTTTCACACTGCACAGTGGGATATTAAACACCCTAAGGGATTTGCAGTAAAGAAACAAGTTATTTACTTTCATCTAGCATTTTCCAAACTAATTTAACCCTATGGACTGCCCCTTGACCATCACCTACTTTTTTTTCTCCCTCTGTGGAAGGGCTATTAATGTCTCACGGAGTGAATGTCCTATAGAGCATAATTTAGAACTTCTTTATCTGTAGGATGATTTCTACTCTTTTCTCTCCAGGAGTAGTTTTGCATATGTACACTGGATTCTAACTCTGACGCACCTCCTCTAAACATTCCTCTACATATTCCTTTTTGGGATGTTGCTAAATCTTTTAACTTATCTTCTTGTCTGTTTCTCAGTTACTTTGTCAGGGCGACCATTTAAAGGCTTTCTCCTAGAAGCTCGTGATGCTGAGGATTTGAGTGGTCTTCCCATTGGCTCCTTCACATTGCATGACAGTCAAGTGTCACAGCTTTTGACCTGTGAAGACATACAGGTTTGTGTTCATAGTTGACCCTTGAACCGTGCAGGGGTTAGGCGTGCTGGCTCCCTGCTCCCTGCCTTCCTCTACACAGTCAGAAATCTCCATATGACTTTTGACTCCCTGCAAAACTTAACTACTAATAACCTACTGTTGACCGAAACCTTACCCATAACATAAATAGTCTATTAACGCATATTTCGTATGTTATATGTACTACATCCTATATTCTTACAGTAAAGTAAGCTAGAGAAAATAAAATGTTATTAAGAAAATGATAAGGAAGAGAGAATATATTTATTCATTAAGTGGAAGTGGATCATCATAAAGGTCTTCATTTTCGTCTTCACTTATCTTGTGTTCTTGAATAGGCTAGAGGAAGACGAGAGGTTGGTCTTACTGTCTCAGGGCTAGAAGCGGTGGAGGAGGTAGGAGGGGAGGCAGGCACACTCAGGGTAACGTGACGGAAATACGTTGTAATTTCTGTCTGACATTTTTGCTTTTTCATTTCTCTAAAAATGTTGCTATACAGTACCGATCCTTCTTCCACTGTTTGCTTTAGTTTCAGTGCCGGTATCATAGAAGGGTCCATGCTGCAAAAGAAATCAAAAGCGGTCATGAATAGTCAGAGCCCTTCTGCTAACTTGTTTAACGCCGATTTGTTTTCTGGTGCTGCTTCTTCTACATCTTCTTCCTCATCGTCTGGCCCTGGTTTGGAAGCAGTCATCTCCATCAAGTTCTCTTCTGTCAATTTCTGTGGTGTGGTCGTAAAACCTGTGAAGTCACGCAAAACATCTGGATCCATTTTTTTGTCCAGCAGGAATTTATTGTTTTGGGCTCGATGGCTTTCACAGCTTTTTCTATGGCAATGATATCTTCAGTGGTGCAGTCCTTCCAGACTTGCATGATGTTCTTCCTATCAAGGTTCTCTTCCATAAGGTACCATGTGTAATGAGCCTTAAAGGTCCTATGATCAGGGATCTAGAGGCTGAATTAGAGTCATTGTGTTTGGGGGCAAGTAGACAACTTTTGCACCTTTGGTATTGAAATCATGGGGTTCTGGGTGGCCAGGGGCATTGGCTAATAACAAAAGAACTTTAAAAGGCAGTTCCTTACTGGCAAGGTTGCTTCCTGACTTCATCGGGGACAAAGCATTGTTGGAACCATTCCAGAAAAAGGCTTCTTGTTGTCCAAGCTTTCTCATTGTACAACCAAAAGATGGGCAGCTGGTGTTTATTTTTTCCCTTCAAGGCTTGGGGGTTAGCAGCTTTATAGATAAGGGCAGTGCTTATCATAAACCCAACTACATTTGCACAAAACAGTAGATTTAGTTTGTCCTTCCCTGCCCTAAATTCTGGTGCTTGCTTCTCTCCCTTGCTAATAAATGTCTTTTGTGGCATTATTTTTTGTTTTCCAGAAGAGGGCACTTTTGTCTGCATTAAACACCTGTTCAGGCAGATATCCTTTCTCCTCCATGACTTTCTTAATGGGATCTGGGAACTCGTCTCCTGCTGCTTGGTCAGCAGAAGCTGCTTTTCCTGTTATTTTGACATTTTTTTTAAGCCAAATCTCTTCCTAAAAGTATCAAACCATCCTTTACTGGTATTAAATTCTCCAGCTTTAGCTCCTTCACCTTCTTTTTGCTTTAAGTTGTTGTATAATGACTTCGCTTTTTCTTGAATCATATTAGAATCTGTAAGCATGCCTTTTTTTTATAGCAATCCTGCACCCACATAAGAGCTGCATTTTAATATGAGATGAAAAGGTATTTTGCAAAAAGTACAAGGTTTTATTGTGTGCTGGCATAGCTTCAGTGATGGCATCACAAATTTTCTTTTCTTTTCTTTTTTTTTTTTTACAATGGTCTTTACGTTGAATTCATTTATCTGGAAATGGTGGACAACCACAGCTGCAGACTTCAATCTATGGTACATATCAAGGAATTCATCTTTTTCCTGTAACGTCACGAGTTTTCTCTGCTTCTTGGAAGCACTTCCAGCATAACTAGTGGCACTTCGTGTGTGCCCCATGGTGTTCTTCAAGGTTTACAGTATTGCATTAAACATGATGAAAAATATGCAAGAACCACAAGAGATCATGATATGCAATTTACTGGCAAGAGGAATGGCTCACATGGAGGTGATTAGCATCACATGGAGTTTTAAGTGAATACTTGCAACATCTGAGGTCACTGCAGTTGCAACAGGTGGCTATGAAATTATTACAGTAGTACAGTATGTACTACAGTTTATATGCAGTTATGATTTAATTGTACCCTTTACGTTTGTTTACATTTCTCTCGATTGCAAGCGGTGCCGTGTATCTGTGTGTGTCATAAGTTTTTATAATAGATTTGTGTATATTTTATGGCAGTAAATGATAAAATAGACTAGTATCTGCATACATTTTATGCATTCATGACATACCTTTTTCTTAATTTTTTCAATATTTCTATGCTATGAAGTTTGTGAGTTTTTTCTAATTCCCAGAAATCTCCAAAAAAATTTTTCAATATATTTATTGAAAAAAAAAATCCACATTGAGTGGACCCATGCAGTTTAAACCTGTGCTGTTCGAGGGCCAACTATAGTTTGTAATTGCTCTTTTTTGGCTTTATTTTGTCTTTTCACTACAGAGTGGCAGTTGCAAGATGAACGATGACATAAACCATGTGTTGTAGACATTTAGATAGATTCATAATGCTTAGACTTTTCTCTTAATTTTACTACTCACAATATATTTCTACATATCAACATCCTAGAAAAGGTACGGCAGTAGTTTGAAGAGTTTATAGCTTGTGATGTTTTATAGTATACTTACTCTTATTATATCAATTTTTGAAGGGTTTGAATATTAAACATCTAGTTCTAGAGTGTGACAGAGGTCTAATTTTTGTCATTCATTTACTTATTCATCCATTTAATCTGTTATACCACAAATTGCCCTGGGTGTGAGGGATATGGTGATAGACAAAATTTACTCTTGTTCTTTGAAGAGCTAGCCTTACACTTAAATAGGACTTCTGGACATAGGACAGACAGATGCATAGAACAGTGTGATAACTTTGGTTGGAAGCATACACAGGCTGGAGGGAATTGGGGGAGAGCTTCTTGGAGGAGATAGTCTTCAAGTGAGGCCTCAAAGAATGAGTAGGAGTTTGCCAGGTGCATGAAAGTAGGAAACAGGATTGTTCAAGAGAAAGGAATTACTAAAATATACTACATGTTTGGAGGCATGATGAATCTTTTTCTTTTGATGAATCTTCTGCATTCTATTTGTATCTATTAATGGAAGGATATAAATTTATAGTGTAAACGAAGTAATGAACAGGCTCTATCTAGCATTAACACACCCAATATTCGTGATTCTCTTCAGTTCTTAAATTTCTGCTGACTCTGATTTATTCACAGAACCAGCTGCTAATCTGTTGTTAACCAATCAGCATGTTATTTATTGAGTATCTGTGTCCTTGTTCTAAATAGTCTTCACCAGAATGCCAAGGTCATGCATTGATAAATTGCTTTGCAAGATGATAGCAGTACCAGCCATGCTGAGCTATTGAGTGAGTGAATGGTTGTTCTTTTCCCATTTATTTCAGGGATCAGCTGTGAGTCATACAAGTGCATCCAAAAAAACAAAAATTAAAGTCTACTGGAATGCTCCAAGCAGTGCCCCAAATCACATACAGTTTCTGTGAGTATGAGAGTTTACAACTCCAACTAGTGTAATTGAAACCATAATAGTTTGTCATTTTCATACCTATCGGACATTCATCTGTGTAGGTATAGTAATGACATCACCTTATTAATGCTTTTTCTTTTTTGCTACTGGTATATAACCAGCACCTAGCACAGTACCTGGCACTTAACAGGCACTTAATAGACATTTGTTGAGTGAATGAAGTATTGTACTGCCTTAATACTAATAAGAGCCATCAATTAATACTTGAGTCTTTTTGTGTGAGAATACAAATAAAAGTCCTGAATTTGGATGACTTTTTTACAGTGTTATGACTCTTAGGTTGTCAGAAAAGTAAGACCCTGTATGTTCCTAAAAATTATGAAATTCAGTAGAAGAAAATAGTACTTCTTCATTAATCATGCATGCAAAGGGAAACGGAATGTCATAAAGCCATGTAATGATTCCTGGGTGGTGTTACAGACATATGTTTTAAGGGTAGGGTTGCTATCCTGTCAGGTCTCTGTTTTCTGATTTACTTCGTGCACAGGTTCCCAGCACACAGTAGCACAGCTTTGCACCTGTGTATTAGGTGGAATGTGAAGAAGGGGTGTGACCCCAGTGAGAGCTGATGGTTATTTATGTAGGCTCTGTATAGTTTCTTGCTGTAGTTGTCTGCCACACATGTCCTTTCGAAGAATTCGAATAGTGTGCTATGAAATGAGTAGTAGTATGTTCTTTATACGCCAGGGAGTAGAAATCTGTGCAGTTTAGTCTCTGGGTCTGGCATTCATGGCTGCTGTGAATATGCCCATAGAACAGACCAGTAAGAAAAGCGAGGCATAGAGGAAGAGAAAGCAACAAGATATCGTCTAGTGATGGGGCAGAAGAGAGTCATCAGAGATTTGCCTGAAACAAAATCAGTAGTACTGTTAGGTACTCAGTCATGTGCTCCTAGTTCATTTCCTTTTTCTTTTTCCCTTTAAAGTTTTGATTTGATTGTGGTGGGCCATAATCAGGGTTCTGATCTCACTGATATTGCATTTCAGAGTCACAGTTGTGGAGAAATATAAAATCTACTGGGTGAAGATTCCTGGTCCTGTAATTTCACAACCAAACGCACTTCCTTTTACAACACCTAAAGCTACAATAGTACCTTTGCCAACATTGTCTCCAGTTTCCCATTTAACTAAATCAGTAAGTAACATTTTTATGGCTTTACTAAATGCAATCTAAAATAACATATAATCAAATATAATGTCCATATGTTATAAAATGTAGAAGAGAGGGAAAATAAATAAGACATTACATGAAAATAAAATGCTTTACTCAGTTTTTTCTATGAGCAAAGAGGTATATTTGTGGTTGGAAATTGTGATTCCGTGCTTGGCAAAGTGCAAAGAGAACTAGCTGTACTGGGTTGTGGTAGGAAGTTTTTGGGAATCTGAAGGAAGTTCTCATTGCAACATTATGACTTAAAGGTTAGAATACAGGGAATGGTCAAGACCCTGCAACTTCAAGGTGTGGTTATGACATTCATATGTAGTCTGTACTAGTAGTGGATATATTTTCATTTCAAAATAAATCTGATGAAGAAACAACTTTCTCTCTTTCATGTGGCCAAATATCAAAAATGGAGAGGGAGCTTAAGCTAAATTTAGATAAGATTTGGAGGAGATTCTTGAAGTGGTGGTATAACTCTTAGATGTTATTTCATTAAGGTCAAAGAGTACTAGAGAATTCTATATGCTGAACCACAGAAAATCTCTTGCAAACTCATCAGCTAGAATTCCATTTAGGCCCTCTAAATCAAAAGAATTATGATTGACAAAACATATTTTGAAAAGGGTAATGCATATTAGAAACATTAGGAAAAGAAGGGTTTTACTGCAGGAATTTCTGATAAATTAGAATTCTTAAGTCAGAAGTGGATATAATAAAAAAATGTCTTGAGGCAGGTTGTTACAGTTGAAAGAACAAATGTGGGCCTGAATACTGACTTCTCTAATTTCTATGTGTCTTTGGAAAAACTAGTTAATTTTCAGAGTCTCAATTTATTCACCAATAAAATGAGAAATAATGATATTAGCACAGTATAACTAAAAATTAAACAAAATAATGAATATCAGTTTTCTAACTGTGCTTTGCACTTAATAGATAGTCAGTAAACATTAGTTCCTTCTCTTTTTTTCTTTGCTTTATTATCCTTTCATTCCTCTTTGTTCACATGGAGAAGGCTAAGTAAAGCACTTTGCTCCTATGTAATGTCTTACTTTGTTTTCTTTCTTGTCTACATTTTATAAGATATGGACATAATATTTGATTACATTATTATGAATGTCGCACTTTTGTTTGACCATACAATTAGATAAGTTATTTGTGCTAGCTCTCAGCTTAATCTTAATGCTTATTTAATTAAAAGCTGCTTTGGGGGAATAAACAGTCAGTTTGGACCTGAGCTTCCCAGCGGTAATGTGTTAACAATATTGTTGTCTTTCCATATATTCACATAAAAGGCATTAGCTCTTACTGGAGCTTTTATTGTGTCTTTGTGCCAAGTTTATAATCTCTAATTATAGGGAAGTTCATTGAAAGTCATAGAATTATAGCATTTATAGAGCTAGAAGAAACCAGGGTCTCTTTCTTTCAGTTTTCTTGTTGTATGGTTGAAGGGAAAGGGATCCTGAGAGAATGAATTCTTTGGCAAATGTGGTGGAGTGAAGGGGAGAGCAGAGGACAAAATTTAAGTTTCCTAGCTCCTAGTGGCTTGTTGTCTTCACTCTACTGTGATTTGTCTTTACATTTCCATTAAATCTAGTTACATAATGTTTAGCTCTCTCCTGAAAAGTCCTGTCACTGCCCATTCTAACAAGGGCTGCTCATTTACTTTGTCTAATTGTAGAGATGATTTTTTTTAAGACTCTTCCTCTTATGTTCCTTATCAAGAAGATCTGGATTAAGTCATTGTAGATTGTTTCTTGTTTCTCCCTCCACTAAATCATTACTATTATTTGGAATAGTGGTGTATATCTGGGTAGCCATTTTTTCTTATTTCAATATCAAATTTGAATCTGAATGGTAGAAGCAGAATCCAAAATCTAAATATAGTAACTTGGTAAAGGTTTGTTTGTTCACTTTTTTAAGATTTCATCTTTGAGAACTAGAGGAAACCCTTTATGTAAGAATATCAATGTCAATTAAATATTAGGGACTTAAATACTCCCTAAGAAGTTTCTTAAAATTTACCAGAAACTTTGCTCTAGGACCTATGTATGTGAAATGTTTTGTGTATTAAAGGAACTTTAATACTCTTGCACAGTTACAGTCCAACTCGTGTTATGTTTTCCAAATTTTAATTAAAATTAATTAAGTTTAAAAGTTCAAAGCCTAACTATTGCTCTGATCATTTCTAATTTAGTATATGTCTTTTGTTTCCTTATTTGAATCCTTATTATGAAAAGATATTGTCATTAAAACCCATACTTGAAGATAGTGGCTCTTCTGTCATTGACAATGAACTGCTTCTTTGATAATTGAAATTTTTTTTTCCCTGCCATTTTTCTAGTTCAGTGCCTCAGACTGTGGGAACAAGAAGTTCTGTATTAGAAGTCCTTTGAACTGTGACCCAGAGGTGGAGGCTGCCTGTGTCTTCTTGTCCTTCACAAGAGATGACCAATCAGTGATGGTTGAAATGAGCGGTCCCAGTAAAGGCTATTTATCCTTTGCACTGTCTCATGATCGATGGATGGTTTGTGCCTCTCACTTGCCTAAGTAGTAATGAAAGGACAGTCACTAGAGTGAGCTGTAATCAACAGTAGTTAAGCTGTTTGTTCCAGAGTCAAATGATCATACTTAAGGGTAGAACACGAAAAGAGAAAGTAGCTTAGAACAGATTCCAGGTTAAACAGCTTTGAATATTTTATGATTTTAACAGTTAGGCAATTATATGCTTCCGAGAACAGGCTGTCCTAAATAAAGTTAGGAAAATCATTTTATTTCCAGTGGATTTGCCATTTTATGTCTATCTCTTTGTGATAAAGCAGGAAGCTCATTTAAAAAAAAATCGCTCTGCATAAAATGTCATGTTTGTGTAATGCTTTTCAAGTCATAGCTGTTTACTCAAGTGGCCAGAACTAAAACATGTACTCCTGCTCTTGGTGTCCCATTTTAGTAGACTTCAGTGTATTTCCCAAATAGGGAATTAAACCTGTATATTCAGACAAAATGTATTACAACAGGCTCCTTTGTCAGATCTGCAGAAAGCATTTGTTTTCAGTGGAGTCTCGCTCTCCCTGGGTGGTGCTGAATGGATTGAATGATCCTGTAGGTGGCAGCCTTGTGCTGTGGTGTGGAAGAGCAGGGGCTGCATAAGCATCCCGATTTCCCAGGGAGCAGGAAGAGATTGGGGCCAGGACATATGTAGTCTTGTTTAAGCAGAGTTGGCGTTGGGAGGCTGGGGATGACCACAGATGGAGAAAGCTCCTTATCTCCACGTTAGCAAAGGCAGAGTCTTTTCTGGAAAGTTTTCTTCCTATCAGGATTTAAACGTACTACCACTTCTTTAGGGAATCACATTTCAAAAATAGAAAAGGAAGTGTGACATGGCCATGCTACAGGAAATAATGCTCTCCCTGAAAGTGCACTCTGATCACACAGGTCCTGTGTGGTGGCTGCAGGTATCATAGGAAGCTGGTGTAATTTTTTTAGTGGAATGCCATTTCTGCGTGTGTATATGACCTACATATTTTACTATAGACCTCTAGAATGCACTTGCTATCCTCTGTCATTAAACAAAGGATATAAATTAAATCTATGCCATAAGATATGTCATGTGCCTTAAAAAATAACATATAAGAAAAATTGTGAATCTTTCTCCTTCAATATTGCTTTTATGGGAAATTTTTTTTTTTTTTACTTTTAATTTTTATTTTTAATTTTTTAAAAAAATTTGTTATTTTTTACAATGGATTAGCTTATGGGAAATTTTATGCATGCTCAGATGATGCTGCAATTGCTCAAAACATTTTCCTCACTTGCCTTTTGCAATTGCCATCAGACATGTAGTGTATTCTTTTGGATGTTCTCAGTGCTGGCAAAAATGAATCAAGTTTGACGTGTAAGGTAAATCATGAGATGGGGTTAAAAATAAAATGTGACTATAAAGTTATAATGAAAGGTGGTGGTAGGGCTTGTTGTTGTGTGAACATGATAAAACTGGCTATGAAGGAAATTCCGAAAATGAGTCCAAAAAAGGATTAAGTTGTTGAATAAATGTATAGATTCATTGGGGTTCGTCTCTGAGGTACAGCACTCGTGTAGATATATGCTCTAGTCATTAAAAAAATCTTGACTTATTCTAGCCACTTCATAGCCAAAGTTCTTGCTGTTGTGTACTAAAACATTTCCTTCCACTGGTCCCATAAAATCTGTAAGCAAGAGGGAAAGACACTGTTACTGCCTTTAGTGTGGTGATGAGTAGCCTACAGGTAGGCCAGTTATTTCTGTTCTAAATCGTAGGCACTGATGGCACAAAAGCATTTATCTCTAATTCAAGATATATTTGTCTTACTTAGAAATCTTGTCTGTTTCTGGTATAGTACTCATCAAAAATGTTTATAAAAAACTTAATTATGCAGGTGCAGTTGATTCACAGAGCAATCCTGTTTAATGATTAAAATCATCTGTACACCTGTTTGCCTAAAGTGGGGGAAATGAATCATCCTCAAAACATATTTTTAAAGTGGTTATTTCTATTTTGGTTGTTGTTTTTAAATTTTTAGGGTATTTTTATGACCTGCTATCTCTTTTGAGTATATATTGTAAATTTAAATACTGAAGGTATCTGATGTTATGAATACTGATTAGATAACCTAAATTATACCCTTTTTTCAATTTGGCTTGTAAATTAGTTATAGCAATTGTTTTGGCACTAGACCTTATCACTAAAATTGAAATGTATAATTTCGCATATTTTTTCTAAAAATGACTCACTAATGTCTGAATTTTAACTGAATTTCTGAATACAGTAAGTCTTCACTTAATGTCATCGATTGGTTCTTGGAAACCGTGACTGTAAGTGGAACGATATACAGCAGGTTCTCAAATAATATAATTTCCCTCAACATCATTTTGTTACAACATTGATGAAGAAAAAAATTTGTTTTGTTACACGTCGTTCCGCTTAAAGTCACGGTTTCCAAGAAAGAACCTATTGATAACTTTAAGTGAGGATTTATTGTACATGCATCTTCCCTATCTGAGGTATTTTGTTAAATAATATAAAGTCTTTCAAGTACACACATTATTAGCTTCCATCCTTCTCCTTCCCCTGCCCTGTATCATTTTGTTCCATACATGATCTCTCTGTGCCCAAATTCTAGCATATTTCGGTCTTGACCTCTCCTGAACTCTAGATTGTGATTTCCAGCTGCTGCCTGGTCTCGTCCAGTTGAGTATTCCTGGACAATGCAAATCAACGTTTATAAAACTGAATTTATTAGCTTCCTTTCTAATATCTCCTTGTGTTTCCCTTTCTTGGTGATCAACAAGCAGCTGCCATTATTTTTTATTTATTTATTTATTTTTTATTACAGCATATTATGGGGGTACAGATGCTTAGGTTATGTATGTTGCCCTTACTCCCCCTCCCCCCCAAGTCAGAGCTTCAAGCGTGTCCATCCCCCAGTCGGTGCGCATTGCACTCATTATGTATGCATATATCCATCCCCTCCTCCCCCCTCCCACCTGTCCGACACCCAATAAATGTTATTCTTACATGTGCACTTAGGTGTTGATCAGTGAAACCAATTTGCTGGTGAGTACATGTGGTGCTTATTTTTCCATTCTTGGCATACTTCACTTAGTAGAATGTGTTCCAACAAGCAGCTGCCATTATTGATTGCTTGTTTCTTGGCAGGTATTGTCCTAGGCAATTTATAGAATATCTCATTGCTGCTACCATCTTCCTTGATAGTCAGAGAAATTTTGATTGTGACTTAGATAGCTCCCTTTCATTCATATCTCAGGTCCTTCTTCCTTCTATCTCCAACTTTTTGTTTTGAAAAGTTTTAAACCTACGTAAAAGTTGAAAGAATGAACACCCATTGGGTCCTTACCTAGATTTGCCACTTTAGCTTTCTCTCTCTTTCTGTCTCTATCTACCTATCTATCTCAATTGACTAACGTGGTGTATATAAATACACCTTTTTCCTGAACTATTTGAAAATAAATTGTATGTATCTCATGACATTTCATCTCTGAAGTTTTCAACATGCGTCTCCTAAGAACAAGGACATTCTTCTACAATTACCACAGCATCTTTATCACATTGAGAAAATTTAACAATGATAGGATAATTTTATGGAATATATAGTCTATATTCCAATTTCCCCAGTTATCCTAATAAAGTCTTTTGTAGCTGTTTCATTTTAAAATTTCTATCCAAGATTCCATCAGTTATCACTCAATGAGTTTAGTTGTTATATCTCTTTGATTTCCTTTACTTTAGAACAATTACCCCTATCTTTTTTCTTGATTATTTTTTTTTTCAGGTCACTTATTTTGTAGAATGTTCTATAATTTATACAATAGATGTATGTTAAGATTTTTCGCAGAAATACTACATAAGATAAGTTGTTTCTACATCAGTGCATCATATCAAAAGTTGCACAGTGTCAAATTGTTCTCTTGCTGATGATGCTATGTGTGATCACTGGTGTCTGTTAGGTTTCACCATTGTGAAGGCATATTTTCTTTTTGTAATTAATAAGTAATATGTGGGATGATCCTTTGAGTCTGTGTTAATATTATGTTCCCCAATAACCTGTTACCAAATGGTTTTAGCATTTATTGATGTTCCTTCTCTGAATCAATTGTTACCTTTGTGGTTGTAAAATGGTGATTCTCTAACTTATTTATTAGCTGACATTCTTCTGAAAAGAAAAGCTTTCTTTTCTCTGCACTTTCCCTTCCCTTTCTGAGTAACACTATGGGCTAATGGATTGCTTTTGACCATCGTATTGTAGTTTATTACACCATTCTTCTTTTGGATGGTCATGTTGACCCAGATGTGGCCATGGGAGCCCTTTCAAGCTGGTTTCTGTGCCCTTTTGGTGTGTCTCCATCAGTTTTTGAGCATGTCTTTGTTTCAGGCATAACAAGACATTCTCCACACATACTTTCATGCATTTCGTCACTTCTCAAAGGAGCTTTGCTTCCCTTTAGTAGCAATAGTATTTAGAAATCAAGATTTGCATGCTAATATGTCCATTGTTGCTGATCTCCCAGGAAATTTTGATTCTATCTTTCTAACATACCTCTTTCCTTCTGGTTTTTGCATTGTCACTATTTCTGACTTGACTTATACCTTTATTTAGTCTCCTCCCTGGACTGCTGCTGTAACCCTTCAACAGTCTTCTTGCCTCCATGATTTTCCCTTCCATTTTATCCTTCACACAGCCATTGGAATTCTCTTCCCAAGTCACAATTGAGATGGTCTCAAAAATATCTCCCGAAACCTTTGGTGAACCTTTGGTAATTATAGAAAAATTGTTCTTTTTCTTTAGCATTTGTCTTAATAGTCTTCAAAGTCTTGGGAATATTTGTTGGAATTTCCAGACTTCGAACTCTTTCTTTACTCTTCATATATTTTAGCTAACAAAATTACTTGTTTCCTAAAATTTTCACATATTTTTATATTTGTATATCTTTGGTCCAAGAAGTTCCTCAGCTTAGAAAACCTTTCCTTTAAGCTCAGATCTACCTGATCCTTATATAAATATATTTTATTCTCTAAATTCTGCTTAATTACTATCTTTTCTGATAAGCCTTTTCCAGTTCTCTGGCCATACATAATTTGTCTTTTCTTAGCACTTTGCCCGAATCTCTATTTTATCATATTTAATGTACTGCTGTCTCTTTCCTCCATTAAAACATAGGCTTTGATTGTAAGAACCATATTCTAGTCATCTTTATTTCTTCCACAGTACCCAGCACAATGTTTTCTCATAGAGCGCGTTCTAGATGCTTGAATTGAGAGTGGCAAACTTGGGAGAGAGCTTCAGTACAACCCCGAGATTTGGTGGAACTCGTTATGATGTGTGCTTTCACACTCCAAATGTGGGGTTCTAGAACTGCCTGGAGCATAAGGTTGTGCTAGAACTTTCTCTTACCCTTCATTTAAAATAGTAAGAACTGAGAGTTATCTGTTCTCTAGTCCCATCATCTTCCCCAATATTTGGGCAATCTGCCTTTATTGATTTAGTATTGTAGTTTACTTCTTATCATCAGTTTGCCTCAAAATCAGCCATTTTGTTGTATTAACTTTTTTTTTAAATAAAAAAAGAATTCCTATACTTCACTGCTGATAGACATTCTAGAATATATGCATTATTTAAATTGGAGTTCAACAAACTTTTTCTGTAAAGGACCAGATAGTAACTATTTTAGAGTTTGTGGGCCGTATAGTCTCTGTCGCAACTACCCAACTCAGTTGTAGTGCAAAAGCAGCCATAGATAATACATAAATGAATGGGTGTGGCTGTGTTCTGATAAAATGTTATTTATGGATACTGAATTTGACTTTGACATATTTTTATTTGTCTTGAAATATTCTTCTTCTTTTAATTATTTTTAGCCATTTAAGTATGTAGCAGCTATTCTTAGCCCATGAGTTGTAGCTACAGGTTGAAGGAATATTGGAGATTGAAGCATAGATAAGAAGTAGACAGGCAAAATATTCCCCCTTGAGCTCAGATATTTTTGTTTCAATTATGCAACATTAGATCTATTAAGTGTGTTTCACATATGTGGCAAGATTTGATTACAGTGTCTTCCATGTTACCAAAAATATTCGATACAATGCAGTGTATTCATAGTTATTAAAATACATAGGACATAGATATTTATTAATAAATAAATATCTAGAACAACATTCATGGTAAATAGTGGAGAAAAGGTAACAAAGTTATACATTTTCCCATTTGGGAAGGAGAAAATAGGTATGTATACAAATAGATTTAGATAAATATATACAAAAGCATTAAAGTGGTATTCAACTGGTGATTGACTTATGGACAAAAAAAATTATTTTTAATTAACAAATTGGACAGCCAATTCTCTAGAATTCATAGTATCGTTCAAGATTGAGTCAGTAAGTTATGTTTTAAAAGCACCAAATAATATTTGATTTCCTTAGGGACTTTTCTTTTTTGAACCAAAATGTTGAAATTCCTTTAAACTTTTTTCATCTGCAATTGTTTTTCAGGGTGATGATGATGCTTATCTGTGTATTCGTGAAGATCAGACAGTGCGCATACAGCCTTCCCGTTTGGCAGGGCGAAGTCACCCTGGGATGGACTCCAAGGTGGGTGTGAAAGTTCTGGGAACCTCCACACGGCTGGTCCACTTTCCGGCTATGTGGCTATCACTGGCACGGCTTGCTGCAAGATAGTCTCCAATCGCTGCATTTACGGCCTAGCTTGAGCAGGTGTCTGGCAGCAGGGTTCTTTTCACAGTGATCTCTGAGAAACTTTTCTACACTTTAGATAGCACAAGATAAATTTCTCTTGTAGGGAAAGATGAATTCTTATTTGTGTCACTTAAATCTTTTTTTGTTGCTTCTTATAAAAAAAGTGTTTTATGGTTTGTTAAGATAGTCAGAGCATTATCCCCTTTTCAAAAGCTTACAGTTTTTTTTTTTTTTTTTTTTTTGAGACAGGGTCTTGCCCTGTTGCCCAGGCATCATTGCTCACTGCAACTTCAAACTCCCAGGCTGAAGTTATCCTCCTGCCTCAGTCTCCTGAGCTGGGAGTACAGGCACATGCCACCATATTCAGCTAATTTTTTTTTTTTTTTTTTTTTTTACCCAGGCTAGAGTGCCGTGGCATCAGCCTAGCTCACAGCAACCTCAAACTCCTGGGTTCATGCAATCCTTCTGCCTCAGCCTCCCGAGTAGTTGGGACTACAGGCATGCGCCACCATGCCCGGCTAATTTTTTCTATATATTTTTAGTTGTCCGATGAATTTCTTTCAATTTTTAGTAGAGACAGGGTCTCACTCTTGCTCAGGCTGGTCTCAAACTCCTGAGCTCAAATGATCCACCCGCCTCGGCCTCCCAGAGTGCTGGGATTACAGGCGTGAGCCACCGCGCCTGGCCCAGCTAATTTTTTTATTCTTTGTAGAGATAGGGTCTCACTATGTTGCCAAGCTGGTCTTGAACTCCTGGCCTCAAGTGATCCTTCTGGCTCTGCCTCCCAAAGTGCTGGGTTTACAGGCATAAGCCATCATGCCCAGCTCCAGACAAGTTTTCAAAAAGAGGCTTCTGTTAGTGACAGGGGTTCTTGACTAGCGAGAAGGAGGAGCACATTTGGTTAAAACTGGTGCCCTCCTGTTGTCTTAAGTGCCCTTTGTTGGCATCTGTGTCAAAGGTGGGCTATTTCAGGTAGACGAGTGTCTTTTTCACAGGGCAGTTTACAAGCAATGAGCCCTGAAGGAGCGGTAGCTATCACTTAATGACATAGCAAATGAACTCTGACTGAACAGCAGCTATCACTTAATGACATAACTGTGCAGAGCTTTCCCTTGGGGTTGACTCTCACAGCTGGCTTGGAACTTCTCCCCAGTTACATGTTGCATTTTGGCCACTAGGGCATTACTAATTGTTTCTTCAGTGTTTTTGATTGTGTGCTAGTGGCCAAATGGAGTTAGTTCATCTAAAATTCCCAGCCCCGGTCGAGGAATTGTGGGGTTCTGGCTGAAAGTAAAAATAATATTTTTGCCAAATGGGAAAAAGACAAATAAACTGGAAGAAAATGTTTCTTGTACTCTTCAAAGAGGAAGTGGAAAAACAATGATACTGCAGACAAAGCATACACATAAGGTCTTAGAGAAAGGAAATTGAACAGGGCAGGATTTTGATCATATCTTATTTTTAGCAAATATTTGGGAAGTGCTAAGAAGACTCATTGTGTATGTTTGTAGGATACTCTTGAAGATATGGCTTGGAGGTTGGAGGATGGTATTATACAGTGTTCCTTCAGAAGAAACATTACCCTTCCTGGGGTTAAGAATAGATTTGATCTAAACACAAGCTACTACATATTTCTAGCAGATGGTGCAGCTATTGATGGTAAGTACATTGATAAAAACTATCTTTTTAAGCTTTTTGTTTCTCTTCCTTCCTGCCTTCCCCCCACCTCTTTTGGAGAGACTACTGTAATAAGGTACACACTTATGGATAAGGAGTTATAACCCTTTTCTATTTTGCATAAAAATTTGACTTTTAGTTAACCTGCACTTATAGCTGTGTTTCTCTGGAAACTAGATAGAGGTAGAGTGTCAACTATGTTATAAGGCAGCATTGCCTATGATCAGAATGGCCTCTGGTTAGTAAAATGCATTTGACCAGAAGAACCATAAATACCTTGCAAGAAGCCGTATCTTTGGGCTTCCCTGAATGTAGTGACATTAGCATTGCAGGGGCCCTGGACACAGTGCCTTTGGGGTTATCGCAAGAGATAGTGGCTCTTGTAAGAAAACCTGCCCAATAGGAATCACATTTCCTTAGACATGAGCTTCCTCCAGGGAGGTGAGGAGGAGATAGAATAGCTCCTGGACGGCTGCGTGAACTGCTCCATGACCCCCCATTGAGGGGACAATGCCTCACACTGCCCTGCTGGTGTGGTGAGTTTCATGTCCTACATCCTTCTAAGTGAATCTGATGCCAGGTGCAGCCTAAGGTATTAATAGTGCTGTGTTCAATGTTTAGTTCATCCTTGAGAAGACTACCCTGGTGGATACTGTAACACATATTAATAGGAATAATTCGATTTTTTTTTAAGGTCTTGGCTAATGATGTTTTGAGGTGCTGCAAGAAAACCCAGTATAGTATTTAGTGACTTCATCTCTTAGGGGATAACATTGGCCTAAAACTTTGAGAATATAGCCTACTTTGAAAATGGTGAGAAGGTGGGCATATAGAATAGAGAGTCAGGGGAGGGATAAAGGAAGAAGAAGAGCAGGAAATGTGGTACAGGTAAAATTGTGAAAAGCCTAGAATATTCTATCATGTGATTTAAATTGTCTATTATTGGTAAAGTAGAGCCCAAAAATGTTTTGAAGCAGGATAAAATATATACTTGGTCTTAGAGAAAATTTAGCAACATTTGAAGATTTAGTTATAGGTGATATGTGTAGTTATCTTACTGAAATTATGTATTTCATCCCCCTCCCTTTTTTTTTTGAGACAAGTTCTCATTCTGTCACCTGGGCTAGAGTGGTGCAGTGGTGGAATCATAGCTCACAGCAATCTCAAACTCCTGGGCTCAAGCAGTCCTTCCATCTCGGCCTCCCTAATAGCTAGAACTGTAGATGCATGCTATGATACCATGCTTGGCAAATTTTTAATACATTTTTTTGTAGAGATGGGGTCTCGCTATGTTGCTTAGGCTGGTATTGAATTCCTGGCCTAAAGTGATCCTGCCTCAACCTCCCAAAGTGCTGGGATTATAGGCGTGAGCTACGGTGCCCTGCCAGCCATTTTATTTAAATGGAGAAATTCTGGGGTGTGTGTGTGTGTGTGTGTGTGTGTGTGTGTGTGTATGGCAATGCCAAACCTTTCTTCATGGATTAGCATTATAGAAATCAGCACATATTTTCCAATAGAAACAATGTTTTAATTGGTAGTTCTAACACTCCCTCAGTAAAACCTAGTTAATGGATGAAATGTGTGAAGAATAGAGCATTGTTCTATTTCCCTTGCCTGCCGGTATTGCTGGATGGGAGGGAGAATCTCTGCCTTGTCTCTTGTGGTGTTTCTCAAAGTGTGGGGCTTAAACAGGTAAAGGCATCATATGTAACCTAATCATATGTACCCCCATAACATGCTGAAATAAAAAAAAATTTAAAAAACAAAAAAAAACAAAAAAAACAACCTGCTTCAGAACCACCTGGAGTGACTGATAGCAATGCAGATTTCTGAGATCCACCTCAGACCCACTGAATTTGTCATTGGTGCCTGGAATCTGCATTTTAACAAGCATCCTAGGTGATTGTAAATGTGCTGTAGTTTGATAACTTACTGCTCTAGGATGGAATTTTCCCAACTAAGGCGAACATATTGTAAGGCAGTTCAGGAATTACAGCGAACAATACTAGAACTTTTCTTTCAGATTTATTTTTTTATCTCATTTAACAATTTTCTGTTTTAATATATTTCATAGTATACATAATATACTAAAACAATAATACATGAATATGTTTATTACAAATATATATATACTAAGGGCTCACGTTCATTTTTTTTAACCGGTGGAGTACAATGCAGACAAAACAAAACACCCCAAAAAACAAACCTGGAGATTGCTACTCCAGAAAATTCATTTTCCAGTTCTCTTATACTGGGGAACAAAGGACAATTACCACATAAATCATTGTCTTTTCTATTACTTAGTCATATGTAGGTGGACCGTTTGTAAGTTGAACTCTGCTTAAAAACAGTGAGATTTTGTAAGGTTTAAGCCAATTTTCAAAGTAATCATATCTCTACAACCCATATAAACGTAAAATGTGCCCCATTTCAGTAAAATCTCATAATGATGCATCCTTTTAAACCTTTTTCTAACTGCTATTTTCCCCACAATGCTGACAATATCCTATTTTGGGATAAGCAAATGTAAAATGCTGAAGTTTTAAATTGCAAGATAGAAATCACTTGGATAAAGAAGTAATTCACAATTAGGAGACCTACTAATTTCAATAATTAATGATGTAGAGACCCTGTTATCACATGACCTGTTATTTAAACAATTTAGGAATACTACAGGTTACATAATACTGTGGAGTCTTGTACTAAGGATGAACTCCCTTAGAGTAGCACTGAGAAATTATAACAACACCATGCAATGGAACTCTAAAATTATAATGGACTTCTGCTTTCATGAAGGTTAAGTTCATGCTTAGTTCACGGCTCTGTGGTGATTTAGAGTTTAAAAACACTTTTCTTCCAACTTGTCTCTCAGGCTCGTTGGGACTGTGGTCTCTTTTTCATCACTGCCACTCAACTAATACAGGATTTTTAGCTTCTTTAGTGCCTTTCTTGTCATTTTTGGTAGTTTTCTTGATCGTTTTCTTTTTGACACCTTTGTAGCTCCTGACAGTTATCGTCTCTTTCTTCTTTTTTTTTTTTTTTTTTATTTCAGCGTCTCTTTCTTCTTGACACTCTTTTCTATCGGCGTTCATTACATAAAGCTCTTCTCGTTTTCTGCTTTATAACAAGCCATGGTGTAATAGTATTTGCTGAATGAGTAACCAGGAGTCCTAACATCAGTTTTGAATAGCCCATTTTTTCTCCATTGTTTCAAAAGCCTCTTTATTATACACTAAAAGCTATCAATAAATTGAACTATTTCTAGTTTGTTCATTCTTCTATTAGTCTATTTATCTATTCTTGTACTAGTGGGAATTACTATGGCTTTATAATAGATTGTAAATGTCGATAGAACAAGGTTCCCCTTCTGGCCTTCTTTTTTAAGACTTTTTGCCTCTGTGTCTATCTCTTCTTCTAGATGACCTTTAGACATGATTTGTCAAATTCTCTTTATCTTGTTGGGACTGGGATCGAAATTGCAGTGAAATTTTAGATTAATTTGGGGAATAATAACTCTTTGCAATAGTGAGTCTTTCTATGTAGGAACATATTGAGATAGTCCATTTATTCAGGTCCTGCATATGTGTGCTTTTCCATGAAATTGTATAGTTTTCTCTGTATCTTCATTGTAGGGCTTATATATTTTTTGTTACTTTGTTCCTAGGTTTAATAGTTTCCTGAAACAAATAATTGTGAATGGGAATGTTTTTCATACATTTGCTAAATGTGTTGATGTATAGGAAAGTTATTGATTTTTGAATATTTATGTTGAATTTAGACACCTAGTTTTCCAGTTGATTATCTTGGATTTTTCTAGATGAATGTCATATCCTGTGCAAATAATGACAGGTTAATAGCTCTTATTTTCTTTTTTGTCTCATTACATTGTCCAGTTCTTGCAGAACAGTATAGAATGGCAGCAGTGAGGTGGCAAGAAACCCTGTTATCACATGACCTGTTATTTAAATAATTTAGGAATACATAAATTATTTAGGAATAATTTAGGTCACATAATACTGTGGAGTCTCGTACTAAGCATGAACTCCCTTAGAGTAGCACTGCAAAATTATAACAGAACCATGCAATGGAACTCTAAAATTATAATAGACTTCTGATTTCATGAAGGTTAAGTTCATGCTTAGTTCTTGTTCTGTTCCTGATTTTCACATGAATGCTTCTTGTATTCAGTGTTAAGTGTCTTGTTTATGGTATTTTTCTGGTGGATGTCCTTTATTGTTTTGAGGAAATGTTTTTCTGTTCCTAATTTTACTGAGAATTTATATCATGAATGTATGCTGAATTTCATCGAATATTCTTTGGACAGCTATTGAGGTGATATTTTATTATTATTTTTATAGATCTCTGGATGGTGAATGGTCCTAATGTTTCTGGGATAAACCTTACTTCGTCACGTTTTATTATTCTTTTAATACACAAGTGATTTGAGTTGCTAATACTTTCTTTAAGCTTTTTACATCTATATTCATAAGTGATTTTGGTCTGTGGTTGTGGGATTGTGCATGTGAGTGGACACTTGCGTCAAAGCACACATGACTAGTTTTGGTTTCCGTATCATGCTAATCTTATAGGATGAAACCTAGAAGAGCTTAAATAAAAAAATAATTTTTAAACTTAAAAAAATTTTTTTAATGGTACGGTAGAACTCACCTACATAACAGTCTGAATGTGGGATGGAAATATTTAACTAATTAAAAAATTCTTCTATTATTATTACTCACCATGGTTACTACTTCTTCTTTGGTCAATTTTCGTAATTCTATATTTTCTTAGAAATGCATCCATTTCATTTAGATTTTGAGATTTTTTTGGCTGATTTAAAATTGTATATAGCATTTTTATATAACTATAAGAATGTCTTCTATATCAGCAGCTATGTCGCCCTTTTAATTTCTTTCTTTTTTTTTTATTTCAGCATATTATAGGGGTACAGATGTTTAGGTTATGTACGTTGCCCTTGCCTCCCCACTCCCTCTTGCCCTTTTAATTTCTAACACTGTTTGTTATGCTTCCTTTTATGGTGTGGTCAGAGTTGCCAAAAACTCAGTTGATTTTACTAGCTTTTTACAGAATCGACTTTTCTGATTTTTAGGCTTACTAGTTTGTTATGTTCTACCTTTAATTTTAATCAGTCTTCTTTTTTGGTTTCCAGGGTTATATTTTGTTATTTTAAATGCACCTTGAATGATGTGATTATTTCAATATTTTGTCTTTTTTCTTTTTTTTTTTAAGAAAATTCTTTTAAGTTGATAACAAGTTTTTTTGAATACTACCTTGATTGCATCACGTGTGGGTATTTTTTTTTAGAATTTTTTTGCAGAGCAAAAGAACTTTCATTTCCTGTGGGAATTCAAATTGGTATGGCTACTTTGGAAGACAGATGACAATCCTTTACAAACCGAACATTCTCTTACAATATAATTCAGCAACAGGACTTCCTGGTATTTAATCTAATGAGTTAAAAATTTATGTGCACAATAAATCTGCACTTAAATATCCAGAATATATAAAGAAATCATGAGAAAGCAATAAACAAATCATCTAAAAATAAGACAGTTACTGAAAACTATTTCGTAGGAGTTGAGACATCACATATGAAAACTGATCAATCTCATGACTGATTAGTAAAAACCAATATAAAATTACACAGTGATTCCATTTCATACACACTAGATAGGAAAAGATAACACAGTCGAGTATTCCGTTGTCAGTCATGTGGAATAAGTAAACACATCACATGTGTTTTGATGCTAAGTGTCTTCATTGTTACACATCTTTGAGAAGACTTGTGCTTTTAGTTTTGATTTCCTGTTTAACCCAAGGGTTATTAAAAAGAGTAGTTTATAAGTATCTAGTTGGACTATTTTCCCCCTAGCTTTTTTTCATTTTTTTGGTTTGTCACATTTGGACAGATAATATAATCTGTATACTGTGTAGTTATTTCCTTTTGGAAATTATTGAGATGTAGTCTGTGGCCTAATATTTGTTGTGTGTTTGAGACAAAGGTTCATTTTTGTTATATCAAATGTTTTGGTTATTTTTAACGCTAGCATAGTGCTCTAAAAACGTGTGTGTTCCAATAATTTGTTTACTCATTCTACAATATATTTTTTTTTTTTTGGCCACCATAAAAAAAGTTGCTATAAACATTCCTGTACATATCTTTGGTAAGATAGATTCCTAGAATGAACATACACACAAACACATGCACACTTGGAATAATTCTATACATTCACAGATTTAGTTTTATATACAATAAATAGTAATAATAAGTAATAAAATAATATATACTCAATTTGTTTATGTCACTATTATTTGGGGTTTTCATTTGTTAGTCAAATGCAATCTGAATTGATCATGTATCAAATACCATTATCATCAAAATGCTTTTTTTTGTCCTCTACTCACCCTTTTCCCCCAATTTCAGTTAGTTCATTCTAGGATTTTAGATGCAGATGGTGGTTAATAGCTTGTAGATTTTTTTTTTTTTTTTTTTTGAGACAGAGTCTCATTATGTTGCCCGGGCTAGAGATCTGTGGCGTCAGCCTAGCTCACAACAACCTCAAACTCCTGGGCTCAAGCGATCCTTCTGCCTCAGCCTCCCCAGTAGCTGGGACTACAGGCATGTGCCACCATGCCCGGCCTAGCTTGTAGATTTCTGAAAATATGTATTCTTTTTCAAGAGTTATATTTGACATTTTCAATATTTGTGACCATATTAACAGTAATTATTTTGTCTTATTGTTTAACTCATCTCTTGCATACCACCAGTTCTCTAACCATAAATTCTCCATTCCTAATCCTTATTTTGATTCATCTCTTGGTTGGCTACATCATTTCTTTAACTTTTTTCAAGAAGGCTATGTGCCCTTGGGTATATCTTTATGTTACTTTAGCTATGAATGACATCTCTGTTGACATTTCATTATTTTTTATTACCTTAAGACATTTTAGGCCAGGCGCGGTGGCTCACGCCTGTAATCCTAGCACTCTGGGAGGCCGAGGCGGGCGGATCATTCAAGCTCAGGAGTTCGAGACCAGCCTGAGCAAGAGCGAGACCCCATCTCTACTAAAAATAGAAGGAAATTAGCTGGACAACTAAAAATATGTGGAAAAAATTAGCCGGGCATGGTGGCGCATGCCTGTAGTCCCAGCTACTCGGGAGGCTGAGGCAGAAGGATCGCTTGAGCCCAGGAGTCTGAGGTTGCTGTGAGCTAGGCTGACACGATAGCACTCTAGCCCAGGTGACAGAGCCAGACTCTGTCTCAAAAAAAAAAAAAAGAAATTTTATTTCCATGCCATGTTCATCTCTCAACTCCTTTTTTTTTCCTTAGGAAGTAATTCTTCTTTGTGATTTAAAAAAAATTTTTTAAAAAAAATTTTAGGTCGAATTTACAAGCACTCTCAGCAACCTTTGATTACATACGAAAAACATGATGTGACAGACCATCCGAAGAACATAGGAGGATCCCGTTCTCTGCTCCTTCTGAAGGCTCATGGTAAGTTACATGTGCAGTATTATTACTACCTTGTGGTATAAACTTACCTGAGGACTCGGTGCTGGCTAGATTAGGAATGATGGTGGGCATAGTTTAGCAGATTTTCATAAATATTTTATGTTTAAACATTAACACATGCAGGTAGCATCATCTATCTTAATGTTTGCTAATTTTCATTAAAAATGGAGAGTCGGGCTAATTCAGTGACTTTAACTCTGCACATTAAAATCACCAATGGAAATTTTAAGACATTTATGATTTTAAAAAAGTATTCTAGTTATTTCTAACTGCAGCCACGGTTGAGTATCACTGGGTTAGTTAATTTAACTTTTATGAGACTTTAATTTTTACCATTTATTAAAATAAATGATACGAAGAAAGAGTGAGCTGCGATTTTGATTGTTTACTTATAACAGTAGTTTGGTTCCAAGGATACAGTTTTGTTGTTGAACTGATCAATGTACAAGTATTTGAAAGTATACAAAATACCTGTTGCTATACTTAGGTATCATGTAGCTAAAGGAGGAATGGAAGAGCAGTAGCCTAAAACCAAGGCTCTCCTATACTCTGGTTCTACAGAGGAAAGTTGATTCCATTTAAAAAATAGTCTGGCTTATTGTTAAAAAAATGGGATTTAAAAGTAGGGGAATATAGTGCAGTGCATGTTATACTATTACAATTATTAGTGTTTGGGGGAACTTTCTTTATTTGGTACCTTCCCTTTATATTCTCCAGAGTTATCCATTGTAGTAGAGTTTCTGTAAATATCACCACAGTTAAGCTTGAAAACAAGTTTATCGTTGTTAATTTGTATCTACTCATGTTGTAGCTCCAGTTTGGCAGTAATTGGATTCAGAAATAATGCACCTGTTTTTCATTGTTTTTTGGAGTGAGATATGAGAGGGTTCTGAAATAATTGCAGACAAGCTGTATTAATATAATGGTTAAGAATAGAGTTGCTAAAGCCAGATAGGGCTTGTATCCTGACTTTGTAACCTTGGACAAACTGCTTAACCTTTCTGTGCTTTAGTTTCCCCATCCAGCACAACTGGAATAATAATTCTAACTGCATCATAGGATTGCTGTAAAGACGAATTAGATAAATACATGTAAAGCATGTAGGGTAGCACGTAATAGGAGTTATGGAAGTGTCAGATGTTAGCAGTAGTAGTGGTGGTAAAGCTATGATGTATTTGGTCTTTTGAGGTTGTGCTTATGTCAGATGAATGTATTTTGCTGCTTTTCATATTTTTCTGAGGATTTGGCCTGGTCATTTAAAAAACAGCTTGATTAATTTGTGATGTTGACCACTGTGTGTTTCTCACCTGTAGGTGCCTTGATGTTTGTGGCATGGATGACTACTGTTAGCGTAGGTGTACTGGTTGCCAGGTTCTTCAAACCTGTTTGGTCAAGAGCTTTCTTCCTTGGTGAAGCAGTTTGGTTTCAGGTAGGTGGGGGGGAAAAAGATTTAATGCAATTTTTGTATTATTTCAACATTGCAACGTGAAAAATGAAGAGTGTATATGCGTGTGTGTGCGTTTTACGGTTACGGTTGTTGTAGGTTTGGGATCCTCTTTTTTCCCTTTAGTTTCCTGAACCAATTGAGAGCAGACATAAGATGCTTATGGAGATCAGAATGCAGACAGCTTTATGGAGAGTCAGTCTGAATCGGAGATTTCATCAGGGCCATGTGTGTCCCTTTGTCGCAAGGACTTTGCGACCTGAATGATCCTTGCTTATACTTCTCTTTATGGGGGGAGATGTTGGAAGAGTATTTACCCACTGTGCTGAGTAAAGATGGCTCAAGGAAGGCAGGGTGCAGAAGAAAGAGATGAACCTGCTTGGTGGGCCACTGAATGTTGGATTATCGCTCACTCATCAGTCAGGTTCATCTGTCTCCTGTGTGTGTGGGAAGAAAAACTGAAAATCTTCTTTTTCCTTTTTAAAAAAAAAATTAAAATTTTTATTTATTTTGTTATTTAAGCTCATTCCTGCTTTAGGAGAAAATGTTCTTTTTCATACTGCCCCCTCCCATGGGATGGAAGGCAGTCTCCCAACAGGAACATAAGCAAGAGCCAATAAGTGCCCTTCAAAACAGAGCAAAACAAACCTCTTTCATGGAGTATGGAGTATAGATATTTGCACATATAGTGGAAGATCAGTGAGTATGTGTTGAGTTAGCATGTACATGCCTGCTTGCAGAAAATAATATTGCTTATTGGAACAGCTTTGATTTTGTACGAGGGTATCCTTGACACTTCATATAAATTTGTAGCTTTTGAGTTTTACCTTATGTGACCTCATTTCACACTGTTGTCTGGCAAGGCCAATCTGTTTTATTTGTTCTCCCTACTGCTACAAGCCTTGCTCCTGTCTGTCTTTGCCTCTGGTTTTGTATGTGTGCACTTTCTTGCTTGGACTCACTCATGTGCTCTCTCTCTTTCTGTCTATCTGTCTCTCTCTCTCTCTCTCTCACCTGCTCATGTGGAAGACTAGAAGACTTCCCAACTGGAAGACTCTTTGTCTTCTCTTTATCAATTCAAATCCTCCACTGCCTTTAAAACAATGGTATATACACACACATATACATGATACTTTTATATTTCTCTCTATATATATGCACACATATATATGTAGGGTGATATATGGTGACTATATATCCCACTTTTTCCAGGATTGTTTTAGTTTACCCCAGTTATCCTGGCACAATGCATTAACAGTGCCGATTTTTACACTTAATATTTTCTTGACTTATATCATGAATTATATATTTTATATATTTTTCTCTTATCTACTCAGTTATATCTGAAGCTCCTCAGGAGACAGTATTTTTTATTTCCTTGCTGTCTTGTTGCACCTTGTAGAGCACTGTACTTGGTGGTGGAGCTTAATAAATATCTTCAGAAGGAAATGAAGGGCTTGCTTGGCAAAGCAGTGTGCTCTGTGTGTGAGATATCCGTTCCTGCTGCTCTGTGCACGTGAATTCTTGGCAAACACTTTTAAATGATGAGGATGGCAGCTTAGGGTTTTCTTTAAAGTTTGGGGTTATATTAAGATTTTTTTTAACTGATCACAAACTGTGATTAGATGTCAGTTGAGCCAGATGTGGTGGTATGCACCTGTAGTCCCAGCTACCTTGAGGCCAGGAGTTTGAGGCCAGTGTGGGCAACATAGTGAAATGCTATCACTAAAACAAGCAAGCAAACAAACAAACAAAAGATGAATGCACGCCTTCAGTGAATCTTACCCCATGATCTTTCCCCCATTGTAACACCAACTCCTTTCTCTTACGTAGCTGTCTTCTCACTTTATCATTCCGACTTGCAGGTGCATCGGATGCTCATGCTCACTACCTCTGCCCTCACCTGCGTTGCTTTTGTTATGCCTTTTATATACAGAGGAGGCTGGAGTTGGGTGAGTATATCCTATACAGGATGTTTTTATAGAAATCCATTTTGGTGTCAAAGTAGATTGCTGTTTTATTCTCAAATGATGGGTAAAATATTTCTGCATGTATTCCTCTTTCTTTTTGAATCATCTGATGACTCTTTCTCACACAGAGGTCAGGGCTAGACTGAGGATGCAAGTGCAGATTACTTAGTAATGAAATGTATTTTTAGGCTGCATCAAATGTTGTATGCACACTATAGCTTTAGTAAATTTTTCCCACTATAGCATGGTGAAAATTCAGTGTGATGTCTAAGGAACATGAGCAATGTAAGTGGTTTTCTCTAACTAGTACTATGATTGCCACTAAGCTAACATAAGGTGCATTTCTGCTATGTGACCAGCTGTGCTAAGTGCTTTACATATGTTGTTGAATTTAAATCTCAAATAAAGTAGGTATTGGTAATAGTCCCATGTCACAAATGAAGAAACTGAAGCTTATTCCCAAATGTTTATCTCCAGCCCAGAGCTCTCCCCTGGCTTGAGGCTTACACATCTAGCTCAAGTTGCACCCAGGACCCCAACTTGCATGTCTAAGACATCAAGCTTAACATGTTCAAAATGGAATTCCTGATCTTTTTTCCCATCCTGCTCTACCTTCCATGAGTCCCATGGTAGCTGTTGGAATTCCATCTTTAGACCAAAACCTTGGAATCATCCTTAGCTGTGTTCTCTTGCACATCCCACATCAGGTCCATTGGGAAACCCTGTTGGCTCTACACTGAAGGTGTAGCCGCAGTCCACCACTTCTCACGGCCATCGCCGACGCTACTGCGTGGGCTCGAACCACCATCATCTTTTGCCTGGACACTGCAGTAGCCACCTAACTGGTCTTTCCACTTAAGCCCTCACTCACGTACAGCTGTTTTCAACAAAGAAGGCAGAGTGATTTTTTAAAAATGTAAATCAGATCATGTAATTCCTGTGTCTCTCGATTTTACTCAGAGTAAAAGCCAAGTTCTTCCAGTGGCCTCCATGACTGGGCTCCCAGTCATTCTCTGACTGGCCTCCTCCCCGTCTCGTCTGGCGCATCCCCTCCACTCTGGCCTCGTGCTGGTCTGCAAACCCGCCAGGCACGCCCCTTCTTTGTCTTCTCCACAGAGATTCTTCCTTCTGCCTGGCACATGCTTCCTCCACTCCCTCACTTCTCCAAGTCTATGCTCAAATCGCAGCCTTTCAAGGGGGCCGCAGCCTTGACCTTATGCCAGCATTCTTGACCTTATGCCATTTCACATATTTCACTTAACGATATTTTTTCTTTGTCTGTTTTCCCACACTAGTACGGCCAGCTCTGCGAGAGCTGGGGTATCCATTGGTATGTTCACGAGTATATTCCAAGTACCCAGAACAGATTCTAGGACATAGCAGGGACTCTGCTATGTAAATATTTAGTGAATAAGTGAACAAGGCTTATTGAAAATAAGTGACATACCTAAGTTCAGAGCCTGTACTTCCCAGACACTGTTCCAGTTTTATAGCTAGTCGGAATTTGATCTCTAAATTGGATAGTTCAGAGTCTGGGCTGGTGCCACAAGGAGTAAGATTGATGAGTCTTGGGTCACAGATATTAGTAATGAACCTCCCTCCTGCTTTCTATTTTTTTAAAAAGAATCTTAAGGATAATCAGCCTCCTACTTTTTAGGTAGTTCCTGCATCAGTTAACCTATTTATTTTAAAGGAAATTATGAAGATTTTATGACATGAACTGAGACATCGGAACCTTATTTTACCCAGATATTCAGGGCAAAGTTAACACTTATTTTGTAATTGTGTGGTTTATAGTCTTTGCAGTTTATGAGTAGGATAGTACAAAGGTTAAGAACACTGTTCTACAGCCGGACTGCTTAGATTCAAATCCTGGGACACCTTGGGCAAGTTACTTAACTTCTCTGTCGCTTAGATTACTCACCTGAAGAACAGGGCTAGTGTAGTATCTAGGCCTTCTGTGAGGATTGGGAGTTAGTTAATTGACAGTGTTTAGGACAATACCAGTACATTCTAAGCACATACGAGAATTTTGTTGTTGTTGCCGTTTTGTTTTTTTGTCAGATAGAAGCCCTGTATGTCTCCACAGTCACGGTTATAATTTTATCCATGTACGACCGAGTCCTATTTACAAAGACTTCCTGTCATGGCTTAGAGACCATGATGTCCCCATTTCTAGGTCACAGATTTATGGCCTACCTGAGCACGAGGGTCAGTGTAACAGACTGTAGTATCCTCCCATCCAGACATGTCACGAGTTAGAGCATCTTCTTGCTCTTAAGTGTTTAAGTGAAATCGTTACACAAAGTGGTCTTATCCAGCTGTCCACTCTTTCGAGCAGGTGCACAGCCTCACTAAGGGAGGAGTGTGGCAGAAACTGCTGAGATACTATGTCGATGTTTTTTCCTGGGTTAGATCTTCATTCCGAACAGAGGAGATAATCTTTTAATACAGTGGCTATACAGGTTACTCACTGAATCAACAAACATTTATTGAGTGACTAAGACTCTGTTAAGCTCCAGGGTTCCAGGGAATCATATAGATCCCACAGCTTAGGGAAACCCAGAGGTCTAAACAAATCATTATAGTACATTGGAATGATTGCTCTTGACATGTGGACACTAACTGGCCCCAGCTGGGCTGGGAGTGACTGTCCTGGTGTGGTGGGTACTCACCTAACATCCTGATGGGGGAGAGAGGCATTCTGTGCATGAACTCTGCCACCACCGTTTATATACTGTGTGGCCTTGGACGCAGCACTTGATATCTCTGAGCCTCAGTTCCCTGATTTGTAAAATTGGGATATTGATAACCAATTGTCAAGCATTATAGTGAGAACTAGTAGTGTGTGTACAGAACATGCCTGGCATAAAGTGTATACTCAGTACATGTTGCCTGTTACTATCAACATCATTATCGAATGTTTAAAGCCATGGAAAAACTCTAAGAATACATCTGTGTGTGCTATTTTTAACTTGAGGATTTAAATTGATGAGAGAGATCGAGACCTTTAACACAACATGACTTTGTTTAGCATGCAGGTTACCACCCGTACCTTGGCTGCATAGTGATGACTTTAGCTGTTCTTCAGCCTCTTCTGGCAGCCTGCAGGCCACCTTTACATGACCCAAGGTACTTCCAACTTTTATATATAAATGCTCTCTTAATGTGGATATCCTTAGTTGGCAAAATCATCCCTTTTCAAGTGGAAATATTTTGCATTTTATAAAATTCAGTGATAAATTGTAGTTACTTTGAAAGCCTTTAAAATGTATTTCGGATATCTAATTCACAGGCAATAAGGAAAATTGCATGCTTTTTATTCTCTTGGGAATTAATTGTAGTCCAATTGTTTTTAAGAATACTGACTGGTTCTTTATTTTGGTAGAAGGCAAATGTTTAACTGGACTCATTGGAGTATAGGAACAGCTGCTAGAATAATAGCAGGTAAGTAATTGTGATGCCACTTATTCCTATATAATTGCTGGTTGTTTATATAGCAAGTTGTAATTTGGCTTAAATGATTTTTAGATGTATTAGTAATTGGAGTAATTGGTTGTTGAGGAGAAATCAGCCTTAAACATTGAAATCCAGAAAGTAATTTCTAGAGGTAACTATTTAAGTCATTATTTCAGTTTTAAGTTTAAGGTTTTTAAAATGACTTTAAAACTCTGCTTTTAGGACTTTTTTTTTTTTAGCATTTGCCTTTCCCAGCAGAATAAGCTATACTGATGGCCAAACATTTGAGCGACTCAAGTTGAGGGACATTTGTGAGTTCTGTCGAGGGAGACTGTTGAGTCTGAGCCCTCTGTCTCTAGGTCCTTTCCATGGAGCTTGTATCTTCCAGGGTAGGGTGGTTTTCAAAAGTCAAGTATGATTATCCAACACATTTTGATGCCTTATGTAACAAATACCTAAGCAGGCAGCTCCTACCCTATCATTGCTATAGTCTATGGGATTCTTTGTGAAAGAGGGAGTACAATCTGCAACGGTTTCCATTCTTTTCTCCCTTTCTGCTTTGCAGTTTTAAAGCTTTCTGGAAAGTTTAGATGCCTCTTTTTTTAACAATTGGTAGATCATAATTATAATTTCCCATCTTGTCCTATCTAGCTTCAAAATAAAAAAGACTAAATTAACAACTATTTGGTCTTAAATATTAATCTTATTTATCTCATAAACTCTTTGTTGATATAATACACAAACAAGCACACACATAATTATGTCCCTTGGTGGGGACTACATTTGAATATGTATTTTTTTCTCTTAACATTAGTGGCAGCAATATTCCTGGGAATGGATTTACCAGGATTGAATCTTCCTTATCCACGGAAAACCTATGCAATGATTGGATTTGTAGCGTGGCACGTCGGGACTGAGATTGTTCTGGAGATACATGCTTATCGACTCTCTCGAAAAGGTAACCTGCTGAAAAAGCCATGTTATGTAGAATCATGTTTATACAAACTGTTGGAAAATAATTGGTTGCTTGATACTAATAGTTGACCATTATGCGGTAGCTCATTAAAAAGGTTTCTGTTATGATTAGTCAGCCGGTGGTAGAAATTTTCTGCTTTTGTTTTTTACACGGCTTAGCATTAGAATTTGTGAGTAAAAATACAAAGGAAGTATTTTAGGTTTTAGGGAAGAAGTCTTCTTTTACTTTGTATCCTTGTCTGCCTCGGAGCCCATACAGACTGGGAACTCTGAATGCCCGGAATGAGGGAACCCTGAGATGGGGGAAGAAGAGACTCAAAGTTATTATAACACGGGGCAGAGCTGCGGACAATTTTTACCTATTTCTCAAGCTTACTGTGTGCTATCGCTTAGGTTGCCATGTACATAACTGTATAGCTAGCTGGGGAGCAAGCTAGATAGGAAGGACTTACATTGTGCTCTCTAGTGGCAAGCTCTGTTTCGGTCTCAGAGCCAGGCAGCTCAAGATACGTATAGCCACCATTAACAGTGGAGGAATTAATAGAGAATGGTGACATTTTAAACTCAGCTAAGTGTTGTCTGTGTCCTATCTGGTTTTCAGCCCTCAAAATAAGTGAAGGTGGCCTTCTAAAAAAAAACTGTTTGTTGTCCAGTGTATATGTTGTGAGCCTAAGAGCCTGAGTAGCTTTTAGGAGCTGAGTAGTATCTGTCCTGACACTTTTGGTTCTTGAAGGTTATATACACGGGGCTTTTGATGACCACTGAATTGTGGCTTACTGTTTAAAATACATATGTTCTTAAAACTTGGATTGTTAGCATATGTTAATTACTTGATTTAGCTATTTCACAATGTATATAAATATCAAAACACCATGTTATACACCATAAATATCTGCAGTTTTTATTTGTCAATTAAAAAACCCAAAAAACTTATATTGTGCGGACTTGGAGGTGGTGTTTATTGATTAAAAGAGGGCCTATTTAAGTTGCTTGACAAACATGCGCTATAGCCAGCTTGTCCCAATTTGTGAGAGTGTTAAGTATTTAGGAAGTTTACAACATTTAGTAGCTTGAAATGGGAGAATTTACACCTCGAAAACTGATGAACACTACAAATCAGCTGTTTTTTTTTTTTTAAAGTTAGTTTACCTGCAGAACACTGTTCTTACAAACTTATGTTATTATTCTTGACAGTTGAAATATTGGATGATGTTAGAATTCAGATCCTTCAGTCATTTACCGTAGCCGAAGCAGAGGTAAGTCCTTTTCTTCTTTATGGACATAACCTTAAGGTGGTACTTTTTCTCATATCTCAATTTTTCTTTCAGGGTCATACTTTTAAAAAGGCAGTCTTGGCAATTTATGTCTGTGGGAATGTGACTTTTCTCATCATATTCCTATCTGCAATCAACCATCTATGAGCAAGGAGAGACCTTGGCTTTTGTGGGCCAGGTGATAGTTATCATCAAACCAAAGAAACTTGAAGCCCGTGCTGACTCCTGGAGCATATCTGTGAATTCTGATTTGGAAGACCGGGGCCATGTCTATAGAGGAATCCTGAAATCCAGTCGTTAGAGATCAACATTCAAGAGGGTCATGTAGACGAGAAGCTGACGTCAGACTCTTATGCTAATTCTGGACCTTAAAGGAAGGTTGTACTTGAGGAGAAAAGACTCTTCAATATTCCACGCCAAGATTATTTTTTTTTTTAACTTTTTTTTTTTCTTTTATTTCAGCATATTATGGGGGGTACAGATGTTTAGGTTACGTATGTTGCCCTTGGTCCC